TTCTCTTTATCTTCGGGTTGTTTGTGCCAAAAACAACCTGATCTCGTATCATGGATTCTTCTAGCGTGCCGAAACTGCATAGCTTCGCCTGTTTTTTAAGCTCTCACAAATAATGCTCAAACGGCTCTCCTTCGTTCTGCATGCGAAGGCGAAAAACATGCCTCTCGTAAACCTCGTTCCCCTCGTCGACACAGTACTCCTCGAACTTCCGCAACACTGTCTGGTAGTCTTCATTGCTCTCACCTTCTGCGAACGAGAAGTTGTTGTAGATGTCGAGGGCTTCCTCACCGGCGATGCTGAGCAAGATTGCTGTCTTGGAGGCTTCCGTCCTGGGTGGTTTAGTAGGCATCGCCGCGAGGAAAAGTTCCAGTTTTTGCTTGAACATTTGCCAATTTCTTCGTATGTTGCCTGCCAACCGCAGCTGTTTTGGATGCTTGACGTTTTCCATTTTGACGAGGCTTTGGCACTTCCGACACCATGTATTGTGTCTCTAAAAGAAGCAGGCTGTCATGTTGGCTAGAGCTGCGCCACCCAAAAGAGCCATGGCGGTTTATTTCGAGCCCTTTTAAAGCAAACGATATGAAAGAGGGAAAGGGAACAAAGAGAAGACAGAATAAGTGTGACGTACAGTCACACTGATAAGCTGCAATCTGATAAAGCTACCACGCAAAAAGTTCAATAAGGCTTTCACTGGTTTTCTGTGCGAAAACAGATCATGTCGCCTTGCAAGCACTGACAGTTCTGATAAGGGTCTGTCGTCTAGGCGAGCTAACGCAGCCGCTAGCTGCTGTCTTTGCACGCTGTAACGAGGGCAGTGACAGAGAACGTGCTTTATCGTTTCATCGCTGCCGCAATGATCACAAGCAGCACTGTCCTCCATCCCGATTCGGAAGGCGAAAACTTTGGTGAAAGCAGCACCAAGCAACAGTCGGCAAAGCACGGTTGTCTCAAGTTGAGAGTCCGGACGGAGGCCGAAGTCGACGAGATGTGTCCAGTCTATGCATCGTGTGTGCCGTAAGCACTCACCGTTCCACAGGGATTTTACTTCTTCATTAGCGATTTTTTTAATTTTCATTGCAGCCGAAATAGATGCTTCTTCGCCATCGTCGTGTGCTGATTGAGCAGCTGCATCGCCAAGTTCGTTGTTCGATGTGCAGCAGTGCCTTGGAAGTCACTGAAACATGATTTCGTGCCCTTTGTCGAAGAGGTGGTGAAGCAACTCTCTAATTTCAAGCAATAATTGTTCATTGCTTTATGGCATAGAGACACGATCTCTCCAATGATATTCACCGCGTTTTTACTGGAAGTTTTCAGGACTTTAGATTGGGAAGAGTTAGGGATAAGAGGTAATAGAGAGTATCTAAGTAACCTGCGATTCGCTGATGACATTGTCTTGATTAGTAACTCACGGGACGAATTCCAGCTAATGTATACTGAACTGCATATGAAAAGCATAAAAGTATGTCTGAAAATTAATATGCAGAAAACTAAATTAATGTACAACAGTGTTGGTAGAAAAGAACACTTATTGATAGGTGGAGAGACGCTGGAAGTTTTAAAGTAATATGTTTGCTTAGGGCAGGTAGTAACCGCGGATCAGAACCATGAGAGTGAAATAACTAGAAGAATGGGGAAGGTGTGGGTCAAATTCTGCATATGCTCTCAATTCATTATTGGTATTCCACACTAATCTTGAAGAGGAAGGTATATATCAGCTGCATCTTGCCAACGCTTAGCTTGCAGATACCCGGAGGCTTACAAACAGGGCTCAGCTTAAATGGATATTGACGTAGTGAGCGATGGAAAAAAATTATAGGTGTAACTTTAATGGCAGAGAAGACAGCCGAGTGGGGCAGAGAACAAACCAGGGTTAAGGATATCATAGCTGAAATCAAGAAGAACAAAGAGACATGTTCCGGGCACATGTCAATCAGTTTTTTTTTAACGTCTTTTTTTATACTTTTAGCTTGGCTGGCGCAGTGTCTCCAGGTTCTTTACCTTCAACCGAAGAACTAAATGGCATTAACACGATGAAGCGATAACGTTATTAAATGAATGACTTCGTTTTGAATGTCTCGAAGAAAACCACTTTACGTGTTGCCTCGTGATTCAATGTTGAAGTAAGATGAGTATGAACGAAAGCATAATAAAGTGTTATCAGAGTATGGAAGAAGAAATGCAACCAAGTGTTGAAAGCGCGTGTACCGCAGCTCAGTTTCCTAATTACATAAGAGACTTCTAGTTTAAATACAAGGTGGCAATCAAGTTCCCCACGAAGAAATGTGCGATGATTGATTGGAGATATTATGTGAATGGTAATAAAAATTCTTGAGTAAGATTGAATAAATGGTTATGTGAGATAAAGGAGGCAAATTTCGCCATATTATGGTAAATTTGCAGCTTGATATTTTTCACAGCGCGTATACATTGTGACGGATTGTTTTCATTTACCTTACTTGTTAGCGTAGGTACGCAGTGATTAGAATTGAAAATTTGCATGTCCTCAGCATATAAACTACAATTAGATAAGGAAAGACAAGTTGGCAAGTATTTTTACTTGGTAAAAACAGTAGGGGACTGATATGAACCCCTGTGATACACTTATGCTAGTAGTTCTCAAGTAGAATAAAAATCAGATGTATCGATGGTTTAGTTTTTATTTTGTAAATAACTGCATATAAGGAGCAAAGGTTAGCCGGTTATTGTAATAGCTTTAGGTTTTGCGAAAAAAATTGCGTGCCTAATAGTGTCGATTGCTTTGCAAGGGTCTACGAATATCAATGCTGCAAATTCACTTTTGTCAGTCACTTTTATGAGGTAATTGGTAAGCGTTATGAGAGCTATAGATTTGTTGAAAAGCTGGAGCTCAAGCCGGACATTGAAAGAAAAAATACTGAGTTTATTCAAATATTTGTGATTCCATTTTCAATTATTTTTTTGACTATTCTACTCCTAAATTTAAAAACCAAATGGCTGTATAATTCTGTAATTATATTGTGCATAATTTTGTAATTATTTGTGTATAATTCTGAAATGGTGTCAGATCTCCTTTGAAGACAGGTAAGACGTGACCGGGTTTTACATATAAAATGACAATTTTCTGAATTGGCGTTTTAATATTGTTGTTATTATTTCATAAGCGCAAAGGGCATTGTTGAATAGTGACAGGTACAATTGCGCTGTGTGGCATTTTAAGTGCGGCGCACTTGAGGGCCCTAGGCTGCCGCATGCTTTCATCTTTTGTAGTAACTTACGCAGAACCACATGTAAATATAAAAAGAAAACAAATGAGACCTGGAAAGAGAGAGAAAGGACTTAAAACGGGAAAAAGCAAGAGTAAACTGAAGTAAATAGAAAAAACAAACATAAACGGGAAGAGGAGAAACAAAGAGAAAAAAAGAAAGAGAAAACGAAAGAGAAGCAAAAAAAGCTGCTTAGCCCTGCACTTCCGACAGGCTTCTTGGCACCACTAGTGTGCACCTACCTTATATTTATGGTTTTGCGTCGCAGGCATGGGTAACTACTAAACATGTCAACAACGTGATCCCGCCTATAAAAGGACAAACATAGGTCTAGCAGTGCAGTGTTTCTCGAGTATGAATGTTTGGAAACCGCTTATTAACTGATGAAAGCGATGAAGGACCCACTGCAGTAGGAGAGAATAAAATAAAGGAGGCGGAAATGGGCACAACATTCAGCGCAAAATAGGCGTTTTTTTTCATCCTCGTAAAGAATGGCCGAATTAAAGTGCCACACCAGCTAGATATCAACAGCTGTTCCGTCTGCAAACACGTTCAACCTATTTAAAACTATGTCTGCTCTTTAAATATGCAAGCCTGGAAGCAGTATGGTCGCTTATATATTCCGGAATTAATAGTAACAGCGCTAACACACGAGGCACCACACATAAAAAAGACACGACACACACGAACGCTGACTAGCGACTGCTTTATTTTTGCTGTCGTCAAGGCCCAAGGCAGCCAAGGAAGAAAATAAGAGTCTGCGCATGCGTACTCTACAGTTGTTCTATACATCAGTGAAACAGTAATGTCGGTGTAATATATTCATGATAACAAGAATTCCTTCATGTCGCGTTTTAGGGGCGAAGCTCTTTAAGGCGTGGGCTGTGCGTCCCCTGTATGTAGCCACCTCTCGTTTAGTTCTTGCAGTGTTCACTAGATGGCGGTACCGTCCCCTGTATGTAGCCACCTCTCGTTTAGTTCTTGCAGTGTTCACTAGATAGCGGTACTTGTAGCTGAATATGAAAAGATGCAAGATGTTATAAACTAGACGACGGTACTTGTAGTTGATGAAAATATGCGAGATGTTATAAAATAGGAATGATGTCACACATGGCGCGTGTCGTTGGTGGAAGGCAATCGTTCGATTTAGTGTGGCGACGTACGCCAGGGGGAGCGTTGTAATAAAATCGAGTGGGCAAAATGTACGGAGGATTCATGGTTTACCAGGTTTACCTCCGGAGCTTCGCCCACTCATCATCATTCACTTCGTGGATATGGCGGCATTTTTTTTACCTAATGTTCGAGGCGTAGTGTGTGCTTGGTTTGGTACTTTTACACCCTAAATAAGTACTAACAAGGCCTGAATCAAACTTTATCGCTTACATGTGCCGTGTAAAAGTGTGTCAAAAGTTTCACTGTCACATACTACTAAAGGCTACACTCAAGCCAATCCACCACAAGGCTAAACTGTTACGCGATAATGCAGAACAGGCCACGGTCACGAAATTTTGAGTGCCGCTGGAAAAGGTTCTTTTTTTTAAAATAGGTTTTGCGGATCCCCAATATTCGCTTCGCTAACCGGCATGACAATCACGCTTATTTTAATATCAATACAGTGTAAGTATAAAAAGGGGCAGGCGGTGACAGCAATCATTTAGACAGCTTTTCCCACCCATCCCATCGTATAACAAACAGTGCATCAGAGTTGGAGATGCAGCGTTAGGCTCGCGTACTATACATTTGCTTTTTTTTAAACAGGACTACGAGTTCGCTCGAACGGAGGGCCGTTATATTGACTCGGGAGAAATGATAACCGGACTAGAGCTTTACAAAAGTCAAGGAAGGATACCAGGGGCCCATGATGTGGTGTACCTTATCACTGGGTAGGTAAAGCATGTTTTTCATTTTATTTGTACATCTCTATGCAAAAGAATAAAAACAGGCCGGCTTCTGAAGCTCTAAATTTTATTTTTCGAAACAAATATTTCGATGACACTTGAGCTTTGTCCTCAAGACTGACACGCGATAACGCAATTATGCAGCGTTCGCATCGTGTACTCAATTGCTAGCCTCACATCACTCACGGCGGACACAGGAACCATGTTTTAAGAAAAGGAACCACGATGGCGTTACCAGATTGGCAATTTAAAACTACCGCAAGATGGCTGCTTCAAATAGAATGCCCAGTGCTCACTACACCGTAGTTTCTCCTTTTACTAATTGAAAAGTGTCAGGTATACGCTTCCGCAAGGCAACACGTGCAGCTGCTCACTTGGTCGAGGGCGTTCCTGTGGCTGACGATGATTATTCTTGCCTGCACGCTTTCTAATCGGCCTGCTATAGGTAACTAGAACCACTATAAGGCATGCCTTTGTACCACCTCTTCGGTGCAGAATTCACATGGTCTCACGCCTTCTGCAATAAATACCATGCTTCTACCGCACAATAGAACTTCTGTTGAGGTGGGCTCCCCGCGCTAGTGAAAACGTTTCTGTGTAGGCTTTTCTGGGAGCGAAGCTGTTTCAGCTTGGTGTATAGGTGGCGTCTAAAACAGAAGACTCGGTGCGTATGCGCCACAGAAATCGAGAATATGCCAATTATCTTCTAGCATGTATCATGTCCAAGCATAGTAGAGTGTTGCAAGTGCGTGGTAAAGGGAAAACAGGTTGGGTGTGAGTGATGTTAGGGGAGGAGGATAGAAAGGAAGAGGCCAAATTATAGCTATCCATATACAGCACACACACGTTTTTTTATTTTGGTGGAACAGCGTCATATTGTCAAGCTCACCACGCCATCGCAGTTCTGGGAACCCACTGGCTTATGGTAATCTCCGCGTTCGCATGACAGCTGAACGTGTGGCTGCAGTTGCAATCACTTTCTTCGTCTTTGCGCACTGTCTTTTGTATGAAGTCATGCAGTCTGGATAGGAAATCAGTCTACAAGGGGTTCAGCAAGAGGTTAATTACATGAGCGTGAAATATAATAATATTCGGCGTCAATAACCTGTCGAAAATTGTCCATAAGCCATATATTTTCGGCAGAATATTTCCTTTTGACGAACTCGCAAATATTTTCACTCGTTTTAGCAGTGTAGAGAAGTTCTGCCAACCTTCGTAGATATGATTATATTTTTTCTTGGGCTTTACTCCAGTTTCTTCTTTTTATTTTTATATTACTCAATGTGTTTATGCAGTCACATCAGCTACCGATTGTTGACGTCGTCGGCTGTGACAAACACCATTTTATGGCACTGTAGGACTTTTTTTTTAGCTTTGACACTCCCATCTGTCCTATTTCTCGAAAACTGACACATGAGGCCTTGCGACAGAGATTTATTACATATATACACTCCAAATAGCTTTATGGCTTAAAGGGCCTGATAGCTGATTTTTTCGACCAATTTTTTATGGCATGACAAACACTAATCTCTCGTGGTGTTTAGAGTTAAAGTAGATCATACCAAAGGCATCAAAGAATTTTACAAACAAATTTTTTTTTAACTAAAAGGCTCTAAACACAAATTTTGCATCCAGCAACGCTGACAATTGGTGGCGACGCCACCAGCCCTTCTGGCGATTTGTGAAAGCTCTCACCGTTCTTCTTTCACGGCAGTTCCTGTAACTATACATACCCACCATTATTTCAAAATTTTCAACTGGTTTTAGAAATACCATGCTAATAAAATCAGATGAGGTTCCAGGGTACACCTACTCTGCAATTGTATCCCGTTGCCTCACCCACTCATATGTCATAGGTGGCATGTCCCTGCGTTGTTACTCTCTCGACACACATGCCAAGCCAATTCACCAAAAATGTCACTGCACATATGCACGGCCGTGCCGAGAAGCAGTGCACGTCATTTCTGAGACGAAGTGTAGGTAGCAAAACAATGTCGCTTCAAAATGTTACCCACCGGAAACTGCGCGCATGGTCGCATGAGCACGCTCAAAGCTTGTTGAACAAATGTTGACAAGTATGAAGTCATTATGACAAGCGAAAGGCAGCGCCAATTTAAGGCATAATTATGGCAGATCCCACGTACTGTGGGAATCGATGAGGAAGGTTGGTATGTCACTTGAAAGTCAGCACAACGTTACGAGGTAGGCGTAAGTTATGCTATACATTACTTCTATTCCATGATTATTCTATGGTTTGCATGTGTCATTTACCTTAATGGTCATCTATTCACGTCATGTGATACAAAATTTAGTATCACGTGACATGATATGTGGAGCTAGCGAAACGGCCGTGGGCACGCTATCAGATTAGCATGCAGACGTGCTTTACATCACACGCATGTCATTACTGTCATGCCTGCACGTGTCATTTACCTTGGTCACCTATTCACGTCATGCGATACCCAATTTGGCACGTATGGAGCTAGCAAAATGGCTGCGAGCGCGCTAAGAGCTTATCATGTAGTGATGTTTAGGATGACACGCATGTCATGATTATCATGTTTGGACGTCTCATTTACCTTCATCGTCTATTCACGTCACTTGATACCAAATTTCATAGATTAGTGGAGCCATAAACGACTGTGAGCACGCTATGAGCGTAGCATGTAGTCATGCTATACAGGACACGCATGTCAACATTATCATGTTTGGACGTGTCAATTACCTTCGTCGTCTATTGACGTCACCTGATACCAAATTTCATATATATGTGGAGCTATTGACGCGGCTGCGAGCGCGCTATGAGCGTAGCATGTATTGATGTTTTACATGACTGGCATGTCATGATTATCATCTTTCGACGTGTCATTCACCTTCGTTATTCATTCCCGTCCCGTAATACCGAATTTGGCCCGTCAGCGCGCTATAAGCGTAGCACGTAGTAATGTTTTACATGACATGCATATCATGATTATTATGTTTGGACATGTCATTTACTTTCGTCGTCCATCACGTCCCCTGATACCAAATTTACTATATGTGGAGCTAGCGAAAGGGCGGCGAGCGCGCTGTAGGCCTGTGTACTCAGATTTGGGTGCACGTTAAAGAACCCCAGGGGGTCAAACTTTCCGGAGTTCTCCACTACGGCGTCTGTCATAATCAAATGGTGGTTTTGGGACGTTAAACCCCACAAATCAATCAATCAGGGCGGCGGGCGCGCTATGAGTGTAGCATGTAGTCATGTGTTACTTGACACACATGGCATGATTATTATGTTTCGACGTGTCATTTACCTTCCTCATTCATTCACGTCCCGTAAAAACAACTTTGCTATATGCGAAGCTGACGAAATCACTTCGAGTGCACCATGAGCGTGGCGTGAACTATTGACTAGTCATAACATGGAAATCATGATATGCATGTGATAACTTCCACGTTCGGGTCTGTCACTTTTGCTCTTCATGCAGTGATGTCATACCATACCGGTTTTGCGAAATGGCATGTGAACGAAACCACCGCAAGAGCAGCAAGACCATGAAATATAAATGATGACGCTCATGACACATATGTCATGCTTTTCTTGTTTTTACTTGACAATTATGTTCTTCATCCAGTTAAGTTATGGCATACCAATTTCGGTATCCATACCATTATTAAGATGGCCAGGAGAGCTAATAGTCTTAGACAGACAGAGACACAGAGAGATATAGACAGAGACACAGAGAGATATAGACAGAGACACAGAGAGATATAGACAGAGACACAGAGAGATATAGACAGAGACACAGAGAGATATAGACAGAGACACAGAGAGATATAGACAGAGACACAGAGAGATATAGACAGAGACACAGAGAGATATAGACAGAGACACAGAGAGATATAGACAGAGACACAGATATAGACAGAGACACAGATATAGACAGAGACACAGATATAGACAGAGACACAGATATAGACAGAGACACAGATATAGACAGAGACAGAGATATAGACAGAGACAGAGATATAGACAGAGACAGAGATATAGACAGAGACAGAGATATAGACAGAGACAGAGATATAGACAGAGACAGAGATATAGCATTCTGGAAGAAATCTACAGGGGATCAACTGCTACCATAGTGCTTCATAAAGAAAGCAACAGAATACCAATCAAGAAGGGTGTAAGGCAGGGGGACACAATTTCCCCAATGCTATTTACCGCGTGCTTACAGGAGGTTTTCAGAAGCCTAGAATGGGAACAGTTAGGGATAAGAGTCAATGGAGAATACCTTAGTAACCTGCGATTCGCCGATGACATTGCATTGCTGAGTAACTCGGGGGACGAATTGCAACTCATGATTACGGAGTTAGACAAGGAGAGCAGAAAGGTGGGTCTTAAAATTAATCTGCAGAAAACGAAAGTAATGTACAACAACCTCGGCAAGGAGCAGCGCTTTGAGATAGGTACTAGTGCACTTGAAGTTGTAAAAGACTATGTCTACTTAGGGCAGGTAATAACCACAGAGCCGAACCACGAGATTGAAGTAACTAGAAGAATAAGAATGGGGTGGAGCACATTCGGCAAGCACTCTCAAATTATGACAGGTAGATTGCCACTATCCCTCAAGAGGAAGGTATATAACAGCTGTATCTTGCCGGTACTTAGCTACGGAGCAGAAACCTGGAGACTTACAAAGAGGGTTCAGCTTAAATTGAGGACGACGCAGCGAGCAATGGAAAGAAAAATGGTAGGTGTAACCTTAAGAGACAAGAAGAGAGCAGAGTGGATTAGGAAACAAACGGGGGTTAAGGATATCATAGCTGAAATCAAGAAGAAGAAATGGACATGGGCAGGGCATGTAGCGCGTAGACAGGATAACCGCTGGTCATTAAGGGTAACTGACTGGATTCCCAGAGAAGGGAAGCGGGTTAGAGGGAGACAGAAGGTTAGGTGGGCAGATGAGATTAAGAAGTTTGCGGGTATAAATTGGCAGCAGCAAGCAC